TTTAATATAATCACAAGGTTTTAAAATTATCACTGCTAATTCCAGAACGTGTTCTTCATCATCTCCAAAAAATCCTATACCCATTAACAGTCATTTTTTATTAATACATAAAAATTACATTACATGTATTTAGGGGGTATCTGGATGTTTTGATTCATGTAGACATACTATGTAATGTTCACGTCAGGTTAAATAGTGATCTCAAACATTTTATCATCTCTTTATTCTGATTCTCCCCTCCCTATCCCTTGGCAAACACTAATCCACTTTCCATGTTTTGGATTTGCATGGACTAGACAGTTCATAGGAATGGACTGATATATATGGCCTTTTGTATCTGGCTTCTTTCACCTTAAGCTAGCTAAGCTACTTTATGTATTTGCAGTCTCTGTGTGCTGCTTCTAGGGCATGGGAAGAAGCAAAACATCTTGAGATAGACATAATCCCAAGGAGCTGCCTTCCTGTTGAAGATGCTGGGGTCATAAGTCTAATAACAAATATTAGAGTGTTGGGTACAGGTCCCAAACGTTGACAGAATCACATTGATTGACTGGTTCTTCTCCTGGGATGACAACTGGAACTTCATAATCCTTTAGGCAGAGATTTCTTCATTGGGGTCCCATCTTGGCCATCCTTGATCCCAGCCCTATCTTTTCTCACATGCCTTTTATCCCTCCCCTACCAGCATACACACTCATATTCTTTACCTGTCTTGTAGGGCCCTTGAAGAGGTGGGAAAGAGCCAGGCATTTGGCATTGGTTATTGGAGAAACACATGGGAGTATGGTATACATGTGATGCCACTTAGTGGCTGCTACTGTTTTTTGTAAGAGCCCCCCAGCAGCCTTCAGCAGACTGCCTCCTATGAGGAACAGCCCTCCTGGGGCTGACTGTAATGTATTTTTGCCTAGGAGCTTTCTGTGGACTGCCAATAAAATAATAATAATAATAATACTCTATACCAAGCTTTAGCCTCTTTAATTTCAACAACCCTGAGAAAATAAACTTTGAGTACATTATCTCTCTTTAAGTATGACATGCCAATACTTAAAACCAGTTCCTTCCCTTTAGCCCTGTTCAAACCTTAGTACTGTTATCACACAAGGAAGGAAGCAAGGGTAAGATACGCACTCTCTTATATTTTTGCCACCCAAAAATATATCCCATGGGCTGGATCTCTGCCCCTCCTTCTTCAAAGGTAATGGTCTTTGTGAACCAGAAAAGGCAACCATATTTGCATGGCTTCTGGCTGAATGTCTACTATAGAATGTGAAAGAGATTCAAAACAAGGCCTTCCATAGACAGCATCTCTCATATCTTCTCTTGCAGCCAACAGGAAGGCTGGGTGTGCAGTCACATCTCTGCTAGCTTCAGAGCTGACCAAGGATGATGCCATGACTGCGGTTCCTATCAAGGTGCCCAAGACCAGCGAAGGAGTCCCCACAATCCTTGAGGAAGCCAAGGAGTTGGTTGGCCGTGCAAGTTAAACTGGATCCCTGGGCCATGGCAGCTCCTAAATGGAGCCTGGATTGTCTCGCCCTGCAGCATGTGCCTAAAGGGTCTAGGGGATATTCCTCTGGGGCAACCACTTCCACTACCCTGACCCCATCTTTCTCTGGCCTGCTGCTCTCTGAACATCACATCTTCAGCTGCCTGGAGACCAGAGGAAAGGGTCGTGTGGAAGAGGCCTGAGACCAACTCAGCCAGCCCTGGCTATTGTATTACCAAAGCAGGGGACCCGTTTGCTGCCTTAACCCTGTTTCCTCTGTTACTCAAGAGGGCCTTGTCTTAGACAAAGTGCAGCCTGCTTTCTCAGCCCAACTTTCTATTGGGTATGTTCGTAGGTCAGACTTGCTGAATTTGTGCTTTTCTTTTGTGGTTTCTCTGGCCCTGAGAACAGCATGGAGCTTATGAACCTCTGGGCTAGATCCTTCCCTTCATTGCTGTCACCTATGCTCTTCTCTTCCCCTCCTAGCTGTTGTTATTTATTACTAGTGCTGTGGCATTGGGAGCTGCTTCTAAGAAGGCCGGAGCAAATCCCACCCTTACCCCTCTTCCTGGAAAAGGCTCCCCAAAATAAAAAGGATCTGTACCACCCTACTTGTTCCACTGTGGTCCAGGCCTGAGCCTGTGGACAGGTAGCTATGGCATAGTAACTGTACCGGGTCCATCCCCCAGCCCATTGCCATGCCTTTTGCCTTTGCCTCCCTAGACCCTCTGTATCAGCCTCCAGGCTACTGAGCCAGGGTGCCCCCCCCCCCCAATCATTGCTTCTGCAGAGTTTTGATGCATCTCATTTGGGGTATGGGCTATAGTGTGACCATCCCAACACCTCACCCCCTATCTCCAAGGAAATGGGAGGTGGAGCCTCCTGGCTGAGAAATTGTTTTGCAAAGGATCTATTTTTGTACGAAAAAAAAATTTTTTTAAAGAAAATATAACTTCCTTCCCCTGTCCCCTCCATAATGTAATAAGGTTTGATGGTAGGTTCAGAGTTCTAGGGCTCTCCTTACAGGCCATAATCCTGAACATGCCCCTGGACCTTGGCCTCAGTTCTCAAGCCTTTTGGACTTTGAGACTTAGGTAGAACTCCCACCACCACCACCACCATCCTGCAGCACTTCTGGGGCAGGAGGAGCTTCTGATTGGGCTGGGCCAGGCCCAAGAATAACAGGAGCTCTGAGGTTACAGTTTCTATGAATTTAATAGATTATCAAGCCAAATGTACAAATGCTAACTGGGCACTGGGAATCTGGCACAGGGGTTGCTTGCACATACACCCTGTGCTCCCTTCTGAACAGTGGGCAGACCAAACTATTTGGTGGCCCCAACCTCAGGAAGCTCAGATTCTCTGGCTTAGGGTGACACTTCTGTCTCCCTTGTGCCACTTTGAGCCCATCCCAGCTAGGGAGAGAGAATGGTACTTTTAGAGATTGGCCCAGAATTATAGTTAGAGAGTGGGGAGCTAAGGAAATTTGAGGGGGCTTTGTGGCCAGGAAGGGGGGTTTTGGTTGCTAGAGCTTGCGTCCAAAGGGGCAAAGGCAACTCTTCTGGGCTATTTCAGGGAAGACTGGTGCAGGGGTCCTGTTGCTCCCCTGAGTCACCTTCTTCCTCTTGCTGGCTGACATCTAGGGTTTTGATCTGACCCTTTCTTTTTTAATCTACTTTTGCTAAGATGAATTTAATAAGAAAAATTTTTAAAAAAGAGAGGAGTATACAAAATGCAAACCTGTTCTCTTGCCTCTTGGGCTTCTGGGATGTCATCACCTCCAGTTTGATGGGTTTGTTTCCAACTGTTAATAAAGCATTGAAACAACACCGCCTTTCAGCCTCCTTTGTGAATTTCTAAGCTATTTTTCTTTTCAGTCCAGGCTCCTCTATTCTTCTATCAAGGTGCCCAAGAACAGTGGACTGCCAAGAAAAAAAAGTAATACTCTCTCCAAGCTTTAGCCTATTTTATTCCAACAACCCTATCATAAGAAAATAAACTTTGAGTAGTTTCTCTCTCTTTAAGTATAACACGACAACACTTAAACCCAATTCACAACCCTGGTTGACAAGTCAGTCAGAAAGCTAAAGGTGCCAGACACTATGCTTGAACACAGGGCTAGAAATGATTAACACATGATGTTTTCTGCCCAGCCAGAGCTCACCTCAGGGCCATTTACTTTCCATAAAAAAATAAGGAGGTGATGCAGGGGTTGGGACTCAGTGGTAGAGAGCACTTGCCTAGTACTGGTGAGGCACTGGGTTGGATCCTCAGCACCACCTAAAATTAAATAAAGAGATTGTGTCCCTGTCTACAACTAAAAAAAAAAAAAGAAAAATTTTTTTAATGAGGTGACTTAAGCCCCCTGGCTGTACCACATTGCTGCAGTGTGGCTTGGACACCTTTTCTTGAACTGACTTCCAGCTCCCCACTTCCCCATGCCTCCGATGTCACACAATTTCACAGCAGGACCTGTGCCTCTTTGTGCTGAGCAAATCCTCTGACTCCCATTTTTCCCATTCCCAACATCTGTTCTTTTGGTGACCACATTCAAGAGTAGAGAGACTTAGGGTGGGCTGGAAACCAGGAGCCTGCCCAAGCAGAGGCAGACCAAAACTGAACAGTGGGCAGACCAAACTCTGGTGGCCCCAACCTCAGGAAGACTTTGAGTACATTATCAATGTACTCAAGCTACAGAGGTCAAGCTACAGATGACTTGCAACTCAGAGCCATACTTGCTGGAGCACTTCAGAGACCCCCACAAAGAAACCTTACCCGCCAGGAGCAGTCCTGAGATAGACAGGGAGGGGCCTGGAGAGGACCACAAACCATGTTGGGCAGCCCCTGGAACTAGAAATAAAAACCTTTTAAATAGCTCCAAGGCCTGGGCAGTTGCCTCCCACATATGGCCGAGGTGTAGAGGTGGGCAGCGGGCTTCCTCCCTTCCCCTCCCCAAGAGGCCACGTGTTTCTGGCTCAGAGCTTTAAATTCCCACATGCCAATTAGGGACCAACCACAGCTGCTCTCGTGCTCTACCCGTCTGCTGCCCTGCCTGGAATAGAACCCAGGCGCCCGGCACCCCGCCCCTCTGCAGCCTGGCTCTGAGAAACAAAACACTTATCCTATCTCAACAACAGTGCACACCACCCTTCCTCCCACGCAAGAAAGTTGCCCCCAGATGCTTCGTTGGAAGGCTTGGTTTCCATGACAACAGACCAGGAGGTGATAGAACTAGCGCCCCCCCCCCCCCCACACACACACCATCACCACCCTCATTCCGCGCGGAGGAAGCCCAAAGACAGCCCTCGGGCTCAGCGGTTGGGTAGGACTCGCTGACCCTCCACATAATCCTAGTGGTCTATGATTCTGTCCTAACGCCCCTCCGGGTTCCCCCTCCCCCTCTTTCCTGCAGCTTCTGAGGCTGCGGCAACCTCGGAATTCGCTGTGCTGGGAGGAGGCTGGCGGAAGGGGTGGGGAGATGGGAGGGCGAGAGTGAATGGAGAAACGCCGAGAGCAAAGAGGGAGGGCAAGCTGGATTTTCGGGCCATCTCATTTCTTGCTCGCCTTTTTAGCCCCCTTGACCCCCTCGAGAAAAGGATGCGTCCTCCAATTTGTCTGTCTTTGCTGGTAAGAGGTGAGAGGGAAAGCAAGTTCCAGGTGGGAAAATACCGCAGGGAACAATCTCCGCCCCCGCCCTCCGCATTTCCTCCCACTCCGCGGTGTTCCCAAAACCTCTAGGCAGCAGGGGTAGAGGGAGTGCGAGAAAGAGTTAATTTTGGCGGGGAAGGGGCGGGCGAACTAAGCTAACGTCCCCCGCGCCCTCCCAGAGCTGTTTGCCCGGCGCCAACCCTCCCCCGCCCGCGCCGGTTCGCCTCTTCTGCCTGGAGACTGGCGCTTAGAACCTAACCTAGCGGAGGCAGCCGCCAGCATACAGCCAACTGCACACGCACTCAGACTCCCCACCCCCACGACGGATCCCCAAGTCCACACACACCACGGCAGACAGATCTACAAGCACAACGACAGTCCATCGCAGGCAGACACGACGGTACCCAAGCATGCACAGCCATATTGGACAGCCCAACACCGACTCGGGATGCAACACACACACTCCCACTCCCACACTCCCTCTCTTCAGAAACAGATTTAGACCCTCTATGAGAAAACAAAATAAACAAGATGCAAACACTCGTCTCCCAATTCCGCTCTTCCACCTTTACACCTCTCAGCTCATCACTTCACGCGTGCCAGGAGCTCCGTCTCTTAAACAGAAACGTTCACTCTTTCAGAAGAAACCTTTTTATTATTTTTTCGAAGAAAAAAAGCCATATAAATATTAGAGTATAAAACTTGCGTGAGATACAGGAAGAGGGTGGGTAGGAGCTACGTGACTATGCGAAAGAGAAGCGCTTATAGAAGGAGTCAGTACGGGGGAGGGGGTCGCCGCAGCGCGTGGACACAGCACAAAACACAGCACGGGCCGCCGCAGGCAGATTCAAGGACAGACGGCTGCGCGCAGCCCACCGCCCGCTGCCCACTCGCCATCACGTAAAAGCACACCGCACTACATACACTATTGGCTATTCTACACCAGCCGAGGGAGGGGGCTCTACACTACTTTTAAGGGCTGGGGTGGGGTTCTCTTGCAGCCGGGCTGGATGAACCGGACCGCGGGGCAGAAGTGGGTGGGCAGAGGAAGGTCTTTGCTCAAGGAGGCACTGGGGGACTTTAACCAGGCTCTGGCCACTAAGGGGTGGGCTGAGGGCCTGGACAGTGGCCTTCACAGAGAAGAAATGGCACCTGGCAAGATGAAGGACCTACGTTTTGAGTAGTACAGGGACCCTGTAGAAAAGCCCCGCCTATCTACTTGGTTTCTCTGTAGTTCTTAGCCTCCCAACCCAGGAACTAAGAATGGCCTTGCTGGGCTTCCCTTCCTATCAGGGTTCCACAGTGGCTCCTCTGGAGTACCCAGCACCCACAGAGGCCCCTCCGACCTCTCCAGGGGACCTACTCCTAAACCCAATCAGAGCTTCCTTAAACTGAAATGCCCATTTAAATTCATTGGTCCTGATAGCTCAGCCCAAAGCCGCCTGCCCCGGGCTGAACCCTATATGCGGGGGCCTAAGGGTCCAACCTGGTGCTTGGTTTATGGCTGGAATTTGGAGATCTGGCCAGTACTCTGGGGACATACAGAGCCTCCTTTAAGACCCTGTAAACTGATGGACTAAGCTTTGTCCATCCTCTCCCCATCCATATACACAAACTTCCCTTCTTTAGCTTACCACCCCCTACTGTCTCAGAACATGCAATGGAGTCTCTTGTTTGAGGAGGGGTGGGGAAAAATCACAGCATGCAGTGGGAACATCAAACAATGAAAAACAAAACAAAAGACTGGTCCCCAGGGCCTCGGGAAGAGGCTTGGTAGCAAAATGCCTTCCCTAAATCTGGCAAGCATCATCAGTACCACAGGGATGCTGACAGTATGGTGACCCCCAAAACTTGAACATTGGTCTTAGGATCTAGAGAGGTGAAAGGACTCTCACAATACCATGCTTTGGGGGAAGATTGAGAACTGAAGGAGAGACCAAGAGGTCATGATGCCTTCCCAACTCTACAGAACTATGACCCTTCTTAGATCATGTGGTACCTCAATACCCCAACCACCTTACTCAAGAGAGGAACTTTGTAGGAGCAGGATGAGGTAGGGTGGAGGGAAGCAGGGGATGGATGGGCCTGACTGATTTGGAAGATGGAGGAGTCCAGCTGTAAGAAAGGGTGTGTGACAATGGTTCTTGGTGTCTACACTAACCCCATTACCCCCATGGGTACAGCAAATTGATTGGATGGGGGTTCCCAGCAGAACTCCCTTTGCATATTCAACCCCTTGGGGGCAGAGAGAGGGGGTATTTACTGGGCACTTGTTTCTGTTTCCCAAGGGGAGCATGGCCTTAGCCCCTACCAGTATCCTGGGGGTGAGCCCTGAAATTCTGAGATCTGGGTACAGGTAAGGAGAAGCTGGGTTGGTTGGGGAAGGAGGCTGTCCTATAAGGCTCTAGGCCTGGCCTCCACGTTACTTCTTCTCCTTCTTGCCCGACTTCTTCTTGTTTCCATTGCCACCTGCTGGGGTCTTGCCATCCCTCTTGCCAGGTGCATTGGTGAGTGTGGCATTGCTGCCAGGGATGTAGACGTTCTGGCGGTAGTCGGGCACATGCTGCAGGGTGAACTGGGGTCCATAGCGGGCACTCAAGCCCATGGTGCCAGCGCCTCCTCCCAGGGTGGAGCTCCCATCAGCAGCTTCTGCAGAGAGAAGAAGATCAGATCATCAGATGAGGGCAGTGACTCTCGTCCTACAAGCAGTTACTCAATGCCTTCAAAAATACCCTGGAGCTTACCATGATGAACACTGGGAATACACCACATAGTCTGGATCCACAAGGAGTTGAAGGTACAGGTTAAGCGTGAGAAAGCCTAGGTTTGATTCCCAACTATTTTTCTTACTGTGATCCTGGATAAATCGATCTAAATTCCCTGTGTTGCTTCAATTTTCTGATCTGCAAAATGGGGGTAGTAATAGTATCCACCTGTTCTGGTTTGGATGAAATCTAAAACTAGAAAATATACATAAAGTACCTAGAATGGTGCCTGGTGCTTGGCCAGTGCTCAGAATATGTTAGATAGTAGTTCCCTCAGGGCTAAGACCCTTGGCTCCCAAATCCTTGCCCTAGCTAGCCCTTCTCCAGGGAACATCTAGCTTCCACATTAGACCATGGTTGGCACATAATCCTTTTCTTCTCCAACCATGCCCAGCACAGAGTAGTGAATCAGAAGTTCTATTATTGGGAGGAGGAACTCTTCCAAACATTCACGTCTTGGAAGCATTTGACGGCCTACTCTGTGTCAAGCGCTTTGTTCCATGTTTCACATGCAGCCTCAACCCAACACCTAATGAGATATATGGGATTATCCTCATTTTACAGGTGAGGGTTGAACCAAGGCTGAGAGAAGCCCAATACCTGACCCCGAAACTTGGTCTAAGTGTATCTAAGCATATGCTGCAGGGTACAGCTACTCCCTCCACCACTGCCACCAGCTAGGATCTTATCCCTGCTCTGAGGGCAAAGGAGGTGAGAGGAGAAGATAGGGATGAATCATGCACTAGGAGACTGAGAAGATGATGACTTGGGGGACCACCTTAGTATAGCAAAGTTAGATAGAGGCTCAAAATGTCTAAGCTAAATGACATCTGGAAGTGCAGCCAGCCCAATTGTTTGCTGCACAAAAGAAGAAACTGATGTCCCTAGCTCAGCATCTCAGAATCTGCATGGTAACAGGATCTCCAGGTGACTTGTAGGTACTTTAAGGTTAAAGCACATTAATAACTATCATAGGGTTTTTATGAGGATTAAATGAGATAGTGCTTCATCCAAGCTTCATCCAATGCCCAGGATAAGTGCTTAATAAATGTTAGTCACTGCTGTTGTCATACCATCATCATTGTTTCACCCATCTACACTATTACTCTCTCTGGCTGGGTGGAGGGTGCTGAAGGGAAACAGGGCTTTGGGTTCACTGCTGGAAGACTCCGAATCCTCTATGGCAGAGAAAGAGTTAAAACCCCAGGAATGCCCAGCCGGGCTGCCCGGAGAACTTGCCTCTCAACCTCCCTCGGCCCCCACCCTAGACCCTGGAAGCCTGAGAGAGTGACTAAAGCCGGAGAGGCTGAGTAATCCTCGGATACCAACCAGGGATTGAGAAACAGGAAATATTTTTCAATGCCGGGGAGAGGGGGCAGGCATAAGAGGAGGAAGAACAGAGATGAGTCTCTGTCTTTCTGCCCTCCAGGCCCAGGACTGGGTTTCTGCAGCCTCCATTTCAAGTTCCAAATCCCTGGAGCTGAGGGCCTTCTGGGGGCAGGGACATGGCTGGGTGGGAAAGAGCAGCTGCCGGCTTCCTTCTCTCCTTCCCCACCAGCCCCCTCCCCCAGCCCTTTCATTGGGCTGACATTTCCCTGTTTTCCCTAATTAATTCCAGGAGGGAACTGAGTCCCCAGACGCCTGCCCCCTCCCCTCCAGCCGCCAGCCCCCAGCCACTTCTAACCTCCTCCAGCCTGGAATGGAAGCGGGGGAAGGGCCCAGATCCGGCTTCAAAGAACCAAGATTCCAGCGTGATTTAGGGATAGAAGGAAGGGGAGACCCAGGAGGTGCCAGAGAGCAAAAAGAGAGAGTGTTTCATCTGCACTGTCCACAGAAGAAAAAGACGAAGAAATGCAGAGAAACAGGGATAAAGGAGGCAGAACAGAAAGAGAAAAGGCACTTCACAGACTCTGTGTGCACCCAAGATCTCTGAGAAGTATCCAGAATGGTGAAAATGACAGAGCACGCTCCTGCCCACCTTGTAGGGAAAGGAGATGGGGAATCCAACATGTATGAGACAGAGACCGACATGGAGTTCTGTCTAGTCAGCTCTGCCTGTATGCTCATCTATAAATCTGAGGGGAAGATGTTGCATTGCCAACTTTTACCTTCTATATAATCAGTTCTCCTAAACTCACTCTCTACAGCCTTCCCCCAACTCCCAGACCCACACTGGGCAAGGACCAGGATTTTCTCTTAGTCTAAGAAGACAGAGACTTACAAAAGCAGCAAGAAAGAACTTGGCCTGAGGAGACGGGGTGACTGATGCTGACTTCTCTCCTGTGCTAGCCCCACCACTGCCCAGTTACCATCCTCTGACCCCACCCAGCCCAGGGCTGAGGCAAAGACTCACAGTAGCCACAGAGGCCTGAGGAAGCTGCACCTGAGCTGGTGAAGCTGTCAACTGTAGCCTCCTTTGGAACACACATCCCCCAAGGATCCCCCCACTCCTCTCTGTCTGTCTGTCTCTCTCTCTCTCTTTCTCTCTCTCACTGACCCTCAGCAGCCCCACAAGCCTGGCTGGGCTGGGCTCCAGGAACCTCTCTGGTTCTGGGGCCAAGAAGTGGGTGTGAAAGTGAGAGCGCTTGACTCTGCCACCTCCCTCCTAGGTCCATTCCCCAGGGCCCACGGGCAGCCTTGGGTCAGGACCTATGTGGCTTAGAGAGGTGGAGTCCTGACAGGGGAGCGTGCGCTGCTATGGCCCTGCTCCAGGGAGAACTTCTGGGAGGGTTTTGGGCCATAAATACTGTTTCCATTTCTGTTTTTAACATCTGGATTTAGGCTAAAAAGCCAACTCTCTGGCCTTAGGGCTCAAGGCCACAACAGCTAAATAGACCAGTTTACTTCCCTCAGGGGCTGGACTTGGCATCTCCCCAGAGCTGCCTGCCTCTTTCATACTCAACAGCTGGCCTCTCTAGGATTAAGGCCCATCAGACCAGGGAAAGCTCTACCCCAGGGGGCTGGCAGCCCCTACCACCTCTTCCTTCCTAGTCCTTTCATCAGCCACAGGCCCGACCCTACTTAACCTCACAGACATCTAGAGTAGGGTTGCCAGAGAACAAAAATACAGGGTGTCCAGTTATACTTGAATTTCAGATAAACAATGAGTAATTTTTTTAGTAGTCCATCTGATGCAACATTTGAGATAAACTTATGCTAAAATAGCACTTGTTGTTCACCTGAAATTCAAATTTAACTGGCCATCTTTATTTTTAAAAATATTTATTTTGGGGCTGGGGTTGTGGCTCAGCAGTAGAGCGCTCGCCTAGCACGTGTGACACCCTGGGTTCGGTCCTCAGCACCACATAAAAATAAATAAACAAAATAAAGGTAAAAAAAAATTATGTTTTAGTTGTAGTTGGACACAATACCTTTATTTATTTATTTTTATGTGGTACTGAGGATCGAACCCAGGGTCTTACATGTGCTAGGCGAGCGCTCTACTGCTGAGCCACAATCCCAGCCCCTTAACTGGACATCTTTTATTTTACAACTCTAATCTGGGAGAATAATGCAGGGCATAAGGAGGAGTTCAGCCTCTAGACATAACCAGCTAAAAGAAACTGAGGCTGGATCTAAAGGCAGAAAGTCAAAGTCACTGTCATAGAAAGAGAATGAGTTTGGGAGTAGAGCTGGGTTAGAATCATAGCTGTGATCATAACTGTGCAGCTCAAAACAGGAGGCCCCGCTCCCCCCCACCCCCAGAAGAGTAACATCTCACACCCCTCCTCTGTCAAATGTAAATCATTAGGTCTGCCTTGAAGGGCTGGTCAGGCGATTAATTGACATGAGGCACTTTGAGTTTAGTATGTGCCCTGGACCATGGTAGAGATATTATGGTTTCTCCTGGTTCTCTGCCCACCTATCCTCCAGATGTGCTGGAAGGCAGGACATAAGCCAGTGCCTTAACCCTCGTAGGCCCACATTTGCTGCTACAGAAGCTAGCCATTAGTAATAGGCATTCCTCTAATACTGCTTTTTTCCCTATAATGGGCCACCTAAAGTTAATATTTAATCAATGGTAACCACTATGTATTCTAAGGACTCTGCCAATCCTGTGCTGAGGGCCTCCCTTACATTTGGCCCTCACAACACCACAATTATTAATATTTTGCCCATTTCAAAATAAGTGAAACTGAGGCCCAGAAGGATTTACCCAAGGACTCACAGCTAAGTGGTGGCACCAGGGTTTGAATCCAAACTGACCTGCTTCCAAAGTCTGTGCTCTTAAGAACTAATGATATTATTCTACTTCCCTTGCTCAGGACCCTTGTGGTTTTTCAGGGACAGCCACCATTGACTGAGTCCCTATTACATGTGAGGCTCTTTGTTAGCTTTGTGGGAAAATCCTAGTCCTGGTCTAAAGGTGGGGGCAGCAAGAAAAAAGGAGTCTTTTTCTCTCTGCTGGGAATATCCACACCCACTGTCACTGATGGAGGGTTTGCATATGCCAGGTCCAGTCCTCTACATTTTAATCTTCACAATAACCCTTTGGAATTACTGTCCCAATTTTTCTTGGCTGAGGAAACTGAAATTCAGACAGATCAAGCAAACTGATCAAAGTCACAAGGATCGTGTGTGGCAGAGCTAGGACTTGACCTAGGCTATCCCCGTCCAGAGTTAGGCCCACATCTCCTCAATGGATGGTTATGACTTGTTTACTCCAGGCACCCAGAACCCCCAACCCCTCTGCTGTTCTTTAGCCTGGAATCAGGTTCTTTCTGACCAGCTGCAAGACCTGGAAAAACCACACAGGATGATATCCAGTCTCCATCCATGGTGGCTGTGGGAGTCACCTCCAAGCCCCACATTTCCCAACCCACCATACACATTGGCACCACTTACCGCTGGCGGAGGCCAAGATCATGGCTTGCAGCATCTCTGTGTCAAATTGGTTGTTGGGCCAGGTGCCAGTTTCATCACCATTTTGGGAGCTGGGGAGAAAGTGGGATGGTGAGCAGTGTCCCCAGCCTGCCCCATTCATGCCCCTCCTGGCCTGTTCCCAGGGTTCCCAAATGTAGTATCCTATCCCCAATCCATGCCCAAGACCTGCTCCTTTGAGTGAGGTAGGAAGTGCTTGTCCATTCCTTCAGAAGCCAGATCCCCACAAGTCAGTCACCTAAACCAGCTTATCTATTGTCGCAGATGTAACTAATAAACTGCATCCCCTCTCATCCTTCATGAAATGACACTGTTTACTGTCAGAGCAAGGAACACCAGACCCTCTTGGGAGGACAGAGACAGAGGGAATGGGAGAGGATGTCCCAGAGCTCAGAAAGGGGTAGGAATCCAAGAAAACCTAGGGGAGATGCAGAAGGCCTCAGGAGATCCTGGAGCAGGGAGAGAAACATTCTGAAAACTCAAATAAGGTTCTTCAATGACTTCCTAAGTTCTCAGAATAAAATCCAAGGGCATATAAGAACTTGTCTCTTATATTTCACAAGAACACCCACCTCCTGCTCTATTCTCTAACACTCTATCATCAAACCTTTTCTCTGGAACTTCCCTGTTCCTCAGGTTCCCACTTGCTGCAAATCCATGGGCAGACGCTAATTCCTAGAGTGACAGCTCTCAGCCTTTGCCTTGGTAACATGAATAAAATGTACCTGAGGGGAATCCCTAAACCCTAGTTGGGCCAGAGCCTGCTCTGAGGTAGCACAGTCACCCTATTGCACCTAGACAGAGGTGCACTCTACCACAGTGACCTCAGCAAGGTGGGGACTGTGTCTGCCTGCTTCTTACTGAAACACAGAACATGAAGCCTGGCATTTGGACCTAATTAGGACTCCTAGAGGCTCTGGATATTGAAAAAACATGAACATCCATAATTTTTAAAAATATTAACTATAAAAGAACCCTAAAGAATTACAACATAATTTAGATTTCTCCCACAGTGATAATTTCCCTCTTTTTTAAAAAATATATTTATTTTCAAGGATCAAATTATCTCAATTTGTGGGGGTGGTGGGATGGGGAAGCAGCCTAGCATACACATGCAGTCTGCCTGTTAGGTAACTATTGGCAGCATCTGGCACAGAGAAGCTCCTCAATAAATAGTTGTTGCCTGAATGAATAAATAGTAAAGAAGTCAGGGGACCTCATAGGGATAGATTCCTTTGAGGTAAAAAGAAGGTTCCTTATGGGAAGGGCTTCAGGGCAGACCTTAAATCTATGAAAGTGAACATGTAGCGGGAGGGGGGTGTTGATGCTCATGGTGGGGTGAGCACCACCAAGAACTTTACAATGTTTGCAAGTTCTGTCCCTGCTTATAATTTCTCCTGATCTGGGACTCCCCATCCCCAAGTAGGTAAACTCCGTGTAAGGCTCAGACAGAGCACATAGCTGCTGTATGTCAGTTCTAAGCCATCATAACAAAAGGTTAGAGTGGAGGGCAAAGCAGGAATCTCATTCCTCCCTTTCCAGAGTGGGAAGAGTTGAATTCTGTGCCCACTTACTCAACAATATTTATTTTATTTGTCTCAACAAGTATTTATTCAACAACTATTATGGATGTTCCAGACACTGGGCTAGGTGCTCATGTGGTAGGCGTGAGCATGAAAGAAATAGAACCTCTTTATGGTGCTCATGGTACACATTGAGAGGTTGATATTAAATGATCAAAAAATAATTTAATTGTAATCATGGCAGGTGCAATGGAGGCAAAGAACAGGGGGCTACCAGAATATTTAAGGAGAATCCTGACCTAGTCAGGGTGAGGGAGCTCAGTTATTTTAGGCTTCTCCAAAGAAAAGATTCCAAATTTAAATCTGAACAAATTATCCAGGTGACTTGTAGAAGGAATGATTGAAAAGCACCACTTGGTAATTGCTGATATAAAAACAGATTCAGGCAAGGATCATCAGGAAACACTAAAATATTAAAATTGGGTGAAGGGCTGCTGCACATCTCAAAGTACCATCCACAGATTACTTTTTAATCACAAATATTTGAAAATATCTTTATAAAGCAGAGCACAGTGGTACCCTCCTGTAGTCCCAGCTACTCTGTAGTCTGGGACAGGAGGATTGTTTGAGCCCAAGAGTTCAAAGCTAGCCTGGGCAACAGAGAGACCATCTCAAAAAATAAAAATACATAAAAGTATCTTTATAATGGAACGATCTGGGGACATGGCTTTCACCAAGTGGACAAACTTAGCATCACTGATAATGGGACAAACTGACATCAAAGGATGCCCAGCGTGATGCTGTAGGGAGCAGAACATCACCCATGAATACCCTACCAACACTGCTTAACCTGAATCTGACCACGAGAAAACAACCAGCAAATCCAGATTGTGGGGCATTTTAAAAGACAATTGGCTGGATTTTTTAAAACTACCTATGTAATCCCAGTGGCTTGGGAGGCTGAGGCCGGGCAATCATAAATGGAAGGCCAGTCTAAGCAGCCCAGCAAGACGGCATCTCAAAATTAAGGAAAAAGTAGGGAGGTGGGAATGTGGGTCATTGACAAAATGCCTCTGGGTTCCATCCCTAGTACCAGAAAGGAAGGGGGGGAGGGGCAAGGAAGAAGAAACAAAAGAAGGGGGGAGGTTATTCTAGATTAAAAGAGAAGGACATGGCAACCAAATGCAATTCATGCTCCTTGAACGAATCCTGCATTTTAAAGAAAAGATAGAATAAAAGGACATATTGGAGTTGGGTGCAGTGGTGCACACCTATAATCCCAGCGGCTCAGGAAGCTGAGACAGGAGAATCACGAGTTCAAAGCCAGCTTCAGCAACATGAGGTGCTAATAAGCCACTCAATAAGTCTCTAAATAAAAACACAAAATAGGGCTGGGGATGTGGCTCAGTGGTTGAGTGCTCCTGAGTTCAGTCTCTGGCCCCCCCTGCAAAAAGGACATATTGGAAATATTTATGAAAATCTGCTAGTAGACTGTGTATTATTGTATTAATGTTAAATTCCTCAATTGTGATAATTTCTTTGTGGCTTATATAGGAGTTCTAGGAGATATATACTGAAGTATCAAATGTCATGATGCCTTCAACTTTTATATGGTTCAGAAAAAATAATGCATGTGTATGCGTGTCTGCATGTAGAAAGATAAAATAAAGGTGCAAAATTTTAACAGTTGATTAATCTAGGTAAAAAGAGTAAGGGTATTCAGATATTCATCATACCATTCCTTCAGCTTTTTGATAGGTTTGAGACATTTCAAAATTAACAAGTTGAAGGGTAAAAATAACTCACCTTAGGAGAGGTGTAGTGTTGAGAGATAGAACTTTCCAGGCAGAGAGAGTAACCCTTCCTAAACCTCTGAGGAGCTTGGTGAAAGGAGCTTGATGAATTCAAAGGACTATGAAAGAGTCACTGTGGCTACCACAGGGGTATCAGTCCAAGGTGGCAGAGTGGACACTAAAGATTTTGGTCTCATCCTCAAAACTCTGGGAAGCTGCTAAGGTATTTAAAAGGGGATTTGCCATGATATAGGATTTATGTATTTATTTATTTATTTGGTACCAGGGATTGAATCCAGAGGCATTCAACCACTGAGTCACATCCCCAGCCCTTTTTTCTGTTTTTGAGACAGGGTCTTGCTATCTTGCTTAGGGCCTCACTAAGTTACTGAGGCTGGTTTTGAACTTGTGGTCCTCCTGCCTTAGCCTCCGGAGACACTGGGATTACAGGGGTGCCCCACTGCTCAGTGGGATTTATATATTTAAAAATCACTTTTGAAAGTAGCAAGTATGGAGTTTCTCCTGGAAGGACAGGAGCCCAGAGATGAGGTCTCAGCCACCTGTCTCCATGCAAATCTAGCAGTCCTCACTTCTAGCTTGACTGAGCTCTCAGGCAGGGAACCCAAGTGAAGGGACCTATAATGGGCATTAATTGGAGAGAGCAGGGAAGGAAGGCAGCAGGGAGGAGAGTCTGGCTTAGAGGAGATGGCAGGGGTCAGACACCACAGGTTAGGAGGACAGTCCATGGTGTTGAGGGAATAAAGATGAGTAGAAGGGTGGCCTGGAACCATGGTGGGCTGGATCATAAGGAAGTTTCTTGGGAACTGGTTGAAGGCTAGAAGCCAAACAGGTGGCAGCCACCAGATGTCTGATGCTGGACAAGAGATGAGCAGAGAGGGAAAGACTTCTTTTTTAGTCATTTAATGAGAGCTCTGTTTTCTGAGTACTGGGCCAACTAGATTATGTATTTATTATCTAGTTCATCCTCAGAACCCCTCAGCAGATAAGAGTTATGATTATCCCTGTTTCTTGGCAGAAGAAATCAGGGTTCACGTCCTTTCCAAATCACACAGCTAGAACCCAGAAAAATATACTTAGGTGAATTATATATTCATGCTTTTTGACTGAACAAATAAAAACCTTCAGAGAGGTACATATGAAAATGTCAATGGTTGAATGATCAAATTGTCATTAAAAAAAATAAAAGTAGACCTAATATGAGTGTAAAGCTGTGATCTTATATATAACAACAAACCAGGCTTCAAAACAAGGAAGCCCTGGAGCCCTAGCAGCAGATGTAGGGGTCTCTTTAAGAATTTGGGGAAAAGTTAAAAATAAAAAATGGAGAAGAATAACTACATTTGATTGATCATTTTCTAATCACCTGCTATGTGCCAAGGTCTGTGACAGTCCTAGAATTTTGAGGTAAAAGATTAGATACAGTTTTTGCCCTAAGGAGTTTGTATTCTGGTATGCTGGGGGAGGGATATGAGGGAGTATCTCATAGGCTGGACTATAATAAAATACTTCCTGCATCATGCTCAAAAAAAGTGAGAAATCTGGGAAAGTCACCCTGACAAATAGTCTGGATTTAACTGTGTTTAAATCTAAATGCAGGACTGGGGTTGTGGCTCAGTGGTAGAGCACTTGCCTAGCACACAAGAAGCACTGGGTTCAATCCTCAGCACCACATACAAATAAATTAAATAAATAAATAAAGGTACTGTGTCTATCTAC